CTGGGGCCGGGCTCGGGCCTGCGGGGATGCGGGCGAGGACGGCGCCGACGAGGCAGGTGGGTCCAGGGGCTGAGGGGCGGGGGGACAGGGTGCGGCCGGGGCCGCCGGTGACCACCGGTGACCACCGCGGCCCCCAGTTCCCCAAGTGACCACCACGTCCCCCAGTGACCACCACTTCCACCGGTGACCACCGCGTCCCCAGTGACCACCACGTCCTCCAAGTGAGCACCAGTGTCCACCGCGTCCCCCAGTTCCCTAGTGACCACCACGTCCCCCGGTGACCACCGTGTCCCCAGTGACCACCAGTTCCCTCAGTTCCCCCAGTGACCACCACGTCCCCCAGTGACCACCGGTGACCACCAGTTCCCCAGTGACCACGTCCCTAGGGCCTCTTCTCGCCCTCGGCGCCGTCGGGCTCCTGGAAGCAGACCAGGCCTCCCGCGGACAGCGGGGGAGGGCGGCCTCTCCGTGGCGTCGGCGGCGGCCTGCGCCGCGGTGTTTCGCAGGACAGCTGACGCTGTCGAGCCCACTCCGAGCTCCTTAAGTGATTAGTGCTCAAGTTCTGCGCTCGGACAGGCCTGGCTTTCAGTCCTGGTTTTGCCCTGTGCTCTGTAGCCTTGAGATAACTGCCTAAGCTCTCGGGGCCTCCCGTCCTCGCCATTACGAGAACTCGGTGGGTGCAGTGGAAGGTGCCCGGTCCCAGCCCGGCGGGGCGTGCAGAGCGTTTGCCCCTGGAGAACGGCTGCCTCCCGGGCAGAGAGGGGTGGCGCCATCTGCACTTGCAGTCAGGAGGCCCAGGGAGGCAGAGCGCGGACACGGCGTCGCTGTGGCCTCCGGAGGATGCTGTGAGGAGGAATGGCGTTTCCACAGCTGTGAAGACGTTTGTTGATTCACTTAAAAAAAGTCTTTTAGATCTATGTCTTTTGGAAAAAAGTTTTTATAGAGATATAATTGACATATAACGTTATATTAGTTTTAAGTGTACAACATTTTGATTGGATATCTGTATGTATTGTGAAACGGTCACCACATAAGCCTAGTTAACACCCATCACCACACACAGATTATTTTTTCTTGTGATGAGAACTTTTAAGATCTACTCTCTTAGCAACTTCAGATATACAATACAGTGTTATTAACTGTAGTCACCATGTTGTACATAACATCCTTAAGACTGACTTATTTTATAACTGGAAGTTTGTGCCTTTTGACCACTTTCACCCATTTCACCCACTCCCCTGCCTCTGGTAACCACCAGTCTAGTCTGTTCTCTGTATCCATGAGTTCAATTTTTTTTTTTAGATTCCGCATATAAGTGAGAACATACGGTATTCATCTCTTTGCCTGACTTATTTCACTTAATGCCATTAAGGTCCATCCATGTTGTTGCAAAAGGCAAGATTTCCTTCTTTTTTATGACTGAATAGTATTCCACTGTGTATGTGTATATATATATACATATATACAGACACATGTGTATACACGTACACTACATTTTCTTTATCCATTCATCCATCAGTGGACACTGGGGTTGTTTCCGCATCTTGGCTATTGTAAATAATGCTGCAGTGAACGTGGGAGTACAGATATCTTTTTGACATAGTGTTTTCATTTCCTTCGGATATATTCCCAAAGATGGAACTGCTGGACCATAGGGTAGTCCTTTTTTTTTTTTTCCACTAACCTCCATACTGTTTTCCGTAGTGGCTGCACTATGGAATTTTACATTCCCACCAACAGTGCACAAGGGTTCCCTTCTCTCCACATCTTCACCAACACTTGTATCTCCCGTCTTCTTTTTTTTTTTTAAACAGTTTTATTTATTTATTTATTTATTTATTTTTTGTGAGGAAGATCAGCCCTGAGCTAACATCCATGCTAATCCTCCTCTTTTTGCTGAGGAAGACCAGCCGTGAGCTAACATCTATTGCCAGTCC